TTTTCAAAAACTTCTGCTGAAATATGAAGAGTTGTATTTGTAAAGTGTTTATTAGTGAGATCTGTAATTATATACAGTCAAAAGTCGTTAATCCGTACTCGTCGGGACTTCGGCGATTCCGGATTATCGATTTTTCCGGATTATAGATCATCAGTTTAAATCTCGTAAGATGGCATGCAGAAATTCTAAAATTAAAAATATGAAACCATAATTTATGAAATAAAGAATTATGATCTAAAGGGTATCAAAATTTACAAAAAAAAAGCTTAATAATTATTTGTTTACTATATTAAACATTTCTTTCAATGTAAGTTGTTTAAGTTGCTTCCTTTTATGTGATAATATTTTCTCTTTAATTCTATAAAGAGACATAATTTCTTGTTCAGTTACAAAGCTCCGCTGTTCAAGTCCCGTTAATTGCTGTGCCGAGAATAACGACTAACTTGTCAATCGAAATTTTTTCGTTTTCACTAACCTCTCTGTCACATTCTTCATGTCTTTATCCATTTTTTGCAGCAATTCCACTTTTTGTTTGTTGGACATCGAAACATACTTTCGTTTTGTAGATCCTTTGGAAGTTCCAGCATCGGAAATTCTATTTGACATAATCGAAAGTTCAAGTTTACTTTTATAAAATTGCTCCTACAGTCTGCAAAAAATATAAGCGGTATCCAATTCGAAGATTAAGGAACAACATAATCATTAACATTAATTGAAATAGACAATTTGATATTTTTAGCTTACACCGTCCGTTATACATTAAACGCGCAGGCGAAAACTTATTCTGCACTTGCGCACACGCATATGCGCAGTAGTCAAGGTCTTACACGCACACGTAAGACGCCTGTGCGCATGTGCCAATGCGGCGCATGCGCAGAAAGTTTTTAGCTTTGAGGTCCGGATTATGGGTGTCCGAATTAACGACTTTTGACTGTACTCAGCTTTTAGTTTTCATAACTTCCATTCATCAGAATTAAAGTCATTAAGCATAAAGGGGGGGGGGCGAAAAAGGAATTTTAAAGAAAAGATTATTTTTTAAATGACTCAAAATTTCCTGAACTAGTATAAGTAATTATGTAACTCAAATAATTAAATATTTGCGAAAATTTTGTTGACCTCTCTCGGTCTTACCAATATTTCTGTATAGATACAGAACGTAATTACATATGGATAATGAGTATCATAGACAGTGGAGGATGTAGAACATCACATTATATAATTGTGCTTGTCGCAAAAGCAGCCACTTTGATAAATGAACATAACTGTCAGGAATTGCGTATGAATGTCACATACATGCTTTATAATACCAAGAATGTTATAAAAATGACGGTTATCTCATATCAACATTTACCGAACTTTCCAAAATGTTTAAAAATATAATATTTAAGAGTCAGCAAGTTTGTTTAAAAAATTGTATGCATTTCAATCACAGTGTTTGTCGCTATAATCAGAAGCTCGTCATCGATATTTAGACTATTTCTCGATAACCTACCGAGTTCAAATTTTGTACTCGCACCGTTTACAGATGGAAATATGCGTGGTAAACCGAGTTTTATATAATTCGATTTAGAGGTCTTAAAATTTAATGTTGAAAAAAATTTTGTGCATATTTCCATTTAAAGAAGAAACTAAAAATCTCACAGATTTTAAGTTTGCATCACTTTACAGAGCGTAAAATAGTTTTTGAAATAAAATTTGCATAAAATTAATATAATTTCTGATTTTGGGCGAATTTTTAAAACTTTATACTTTTATGAGGTAAGAGGAATTTCGGAAGTAAAAAACTGTACCAAAAGGAGAAAAATAATTTGTCGTACAGATTAATGGGAATAAGAGCCCCTTTGAAAAATTCCTGTACAGTTTTTATAAGAAGAATAATAGATTCTTAAATAACGAGATAAAAATATCGAATCGCATTGTCAAAAGTATAAGATTTATAAATTTATCAAGAGAACCGCACGTTTGTTATTCGTGATATAAATTTGTCGAAATTTTTTAAAGAGAATTATTTAATCACGTGTTTCCCAGTAAATTATATAATACATTATTTTTCTCATTTCAATTCATTAATAATTTTATGAGTCATAAATAAAAGTTTATTTTGTAAAAACTTGTTTATTTTATTCAATAATTTTTCTAAAACGTAAATTCTTAATTCCTTTTATATATACATTCACTTTGTAACTGGTACTAAATTTGTTTCCTTAGAGTCAGTGTAAGGCCTTTATCTCAAAACATCAAGAAGACTTCTCCCCGCGATAATGACAGCCATTACCCATTGTCGTCAGGGGTGCTCGGACCCTAGTCCCCTTAGGCAATGGGGGTTGGGAGACGTACAAACATATGGGCTAGTCGTTTTTGGCACATTTTTTTGCTAATACAAAAACACGGGACGATCCGTTTTCGAGGGTACATTTAAACTTACAATAATCCATAACGAACCGTTAAGAGATCTGCATAAAAGAACGAGATAATCTGGGTCAAACCTTTAAAGGGTTAAGGCTTAATTCTCTCAGTGCACGATAAAAGCAAGATAAAATTTAACAGAACAACTTGTCGTTAGTCGCCAAGCTCGTGATCCATAGCCAAATATGTATAGTGAAGGATAGGTAAATTTGATGGTGATAGCCGATTATTTTAAAGGTTTCGGATATCACAAAACAAAGGTGAAATTTTCGAATTAACAGATTTTGTAAAGAAATGTGGAGAAGTGGTAATAAATGAAGATGATATAAAAGAAGTTTTTCATTGTGATGACAATGCTTCTGAATCATCAAGCAATTAATGAATGGCGAAATCTGTAGTATGGTTTCTAGATCCAGAAAATACTGCTACCGATAATGACAGAGAAGTTACTGAAAACGAGAAAATTTAGATTGACAAGTTAATCGGAATTCTCAAAACAACACTTGAATAATGTAACTGAACAAGAGATTATGTCTGTCTACAAAATTAAAGAGAAAGTATTAGCACAAAAAACAAAGCAACTTAAACAACTTACATTGAAAGAAATGTTTAATAAGGAAAACAATAAATATTAAGCTTTTTTATGTAAATTTTGATACCCTTTAGATCATAATTGTTCTTTATTTCATAAATCACGATTTCATATTTTTAATTTTATAATTTCTATATGCCATCTTACTAGATTTAAACTGATCTAATATCCAGAAAAATCCTAAATCCGGAATTGCCGAAGTCCCGACAAGTCCGGATTTCAGACTTTGTTCTCTATTACATTTCAATGTTTATAAATATCAAAATTTACAGTGGATGGACAAAAATATGGAAACACCTTGTGAAATGCATGTTTGAAAAGAAAGATTGATTTTAATGAAACGGTCAAATCGTGTTTTGCCTTGTATGATTAAGGTTAAACATCCGCATTGTAAAATTTGATGTTCTTTAAATTTCCAGTACACAAGCAATGTAATATATGTACAAGGGTTGGAACTTTAATAGTGGCAACACAGCTGAAAAAACGCTACGCAACAAAACCAAAGAATATCGCGTACACCACACCTGAATTACATACCTACCTTACCTCTCAGCAAAAAGACTTGTCCTGCCTACGTCACGCGCATGCGGAGTGACGCGAAGAACGGATCCTTGTATTAGCTCGCGGTCTAAAGTAAGTGTTGTCAGGATGTTTTCAAAACAAGAACAACGATGTTGGATAAAAATTGAATGTGCCAGAGGTCGTACAGCACGACAGTGTCATCAAGGGCTTCAAGAGGCTTGCGGGGAGGGGAATCTGCATTGCCTTACAGAACCGTAGCAAGATGGGTGAAAGCATTCAATGAAGGACGCCAAAACGTGGCAGACATGCTGCGGCCAGGTCGTCCGAGTGTCAGCGATGCAGACGTGCAAGCTGTTGCCGCACTAATGGACAGTGATCGCCGCCAAACGATTCGTCAGCTGGCCGGACAAACAGGATTAGCGCATACGACTGTGCTGCACATTCTGAAGGAACGCCTGTTCATGAGAAAAATTGCTTCACGATGAGTTCCACATCAATTGACGGAAATGCAGAAATGGCTACGATACGATGCTGCCCGAACCCACCTGGAACGCTATGAGCGCGAAGGAGATGCTTTTTTATGCCATATCATTACGCTGGATAAGACTTGGGCCGGATCGTACCAGCCAGAACTGAAACGCCAATCAAACGAATGGCATCATCACGGGTCACCACGACGTTCGAAATTTTGTCAGAACCCCAGCAATGTGAAAGTTATGGTGATTCTTGTGTACGACTGTGATGGTGTCATCCTAACTCTCGTACCGTTCCCCCACAACAGACCGTCACTGCTCAGTGTTGCCATTCAAACTATCAACAAAACAGGCGCTGCTACAGGTATTCTGCGACTTCCACATCGTTGGAAACGGGTTGTACACAATGCTGGCGACTATATTGAAGGACTGTAAAACATGGTTACATGAATCACTTTTGTATTCCTTGTAAATAAATAGTTGCCACTATTAAAGTTCCAACCTTCATATTTAATGTTTATTGGTTTTGTAAAATGAACTGAATTTTCTGAATTTTTTTTCCCCTTTCCAATTTATAAAATTAGGGCTTTCATAAAAGAAAAGTGGCTTAAAGTTAACTTTTATGAAGGGGGTGGAAATACCTGCAATTTCTTACCTGAAGTTCTGTTTCCTTTTGTGCTGAATATGTGTAAAGGTTAAATTATTTTCTTTTATGAGTTATCTGAAAGTTTGAAAACTGTAATGTTTGTACCACATATTTCATTAAAAAAAGTAATATTTGTCAAATAGAACAATGTCAACTATAACTAAAAATTATATAAAAAATTGTGATATAGAATATTGTAGAAGTCTCAATGAAATGCAAAATAGAATTTTGAAAAGGTTACTGCAAATAAAAATTAAAAAATGAGTTTATAACTTCAGATTTCTTTCTGTTGATTTGAGGAATTTTTTCTTACTATATTTTAATAGCATGCCAAAAATTAATGGTGGTCTTGTACTTACAGGTGGCAAGTATTAGGCAACACCTAGCTGAAATCTATGAAAAAGAACAGAGTTGGAGGGAAGCTGCAAATGTTCTGGTTGGAATACCTTTGGAAACTGGCCAGAAGTATGCATATAAATCATTTTACTTCTATTTCTTAATTGTTAATAATTTTATTTCTCTGTTAGAGCTTTTTTCCAGGCTTATTATTTATTTATAACCTTGCATTTAGGCAAAGTCTCTGAATTTATGTATTATAATTTAAGAGAGAATTCAATTTAGCTTCACCAAGTTTCAAACAGATGTATGCAATATTTTAATATCATAATACATATACCATAATGACATAAATTTCATTCTGTGGGTTTGCTAAGTAATATGAGGATATCACCTATCTTAAGTATGTACAATGAGTGCTCATTTGTTAAATTTCATTATCTGTATTCAAAATGAACTTTCAGTTTTAGATTTCTGAAATTTTTTTTATCAAACGTTTATGGCAAAAAATAAGTATTAATATTGCATGTATTACAGTATATGTTGCTGTAATTTTTAAATCGAAATTTTATCAAGTAATATTAAAATTGCAATATTTAGTTTTAAAGCAATACAGCCAATTGTATGTACTATTTTCAAGTAATGCTTCTTTTCTTTTTTTAACCATCTTTATTTCATGAGAATCAAAGCTCCATTTGTATTCAGCGCATTTGAATCTCAACTCATTTTTCATACTTATATCATTTAATTTTCATCAAAGGTATTTTATGCTTAGTATTAAAATATATATTAATTGAAAATAATAAGCATTAATTTGCATTCTAAATTGATATTTGATAGAAAAAAGTCTTTACTAAAAAAATCTTCTCTGTATGGATGGAAAACTGTATTTTGAAGAGAGAGAAGGTACGCCCTGAAAACAAAATTAGTAATAAATTAAAGAATGTCTTAACATGCAATAGCTCGGGGCATCTCAGAATTAACACACCTCAAACTCCAAGGCATCATTCTATGGGCTGAAATAAGCCAAATATGGCAATGAAAGTAGAAAAAAAAATCTGAAAAGTTTCAGATTTTAAATTAAATTCAAAGGGGCATTTTGTGTGTTACCTTTATTTATTAAATATCATGTTCTTTGCACTTAAACCCATAAAATTCAGTTCAACAGCAATGTTGCAAAATAACTTTAAAATGAGCATATCTTTAGAATTTTCGATGCACAGTTCTGCACACTGGAGATAAAATAGTCCCCCCGTAGAGTGTTGCCATTGCCTGCTTTTAAATTGTTAAGTTTGTTAATCAAAAATTTGTTAAAGTTTTACAAAATATGAAATCGATAACAAAACAAATTTCAAATTTGGGCTTTCAGATGCCCATATTTGCAGTATGATTATGTAAATTCGATGGCTCTAGGTACAATTATTTTATCACAATGTGAGAAACGTACATACATCTATGCAGATTCTTCATGATTTAATTTCTTCAAATATAACGGACTCTTAACATTTGGTGGCAACAATTTGAAAAGTGATATGCCGTTTATGGTGATTCGATGTAAAATCGCAAAACGAAAACAATAGTCCTTCAGGGATAAAGCCCCTTTGAACCAAAAAATCACTAATAGCTGTACATTACGTTAACTATTTAATGTGGACTACAACAGCATACATTTTGATGAACCAATGGGAATTTAAAGGAAGACAGCATATGTACTAGAGAGCATATCCTACCCGAAGACGTCTTGACAGAATTACATTCCTTCAAAAAAAGGCAAGTATATGTACATAAGGTCCAGCAGTAAACTGAGGACATTGTCTTATGCATTTACAATACTCTTGGTTTTTTTGAATATATATGCCAGTCTGTGGTATGAAACTATTCTGCTTTTACAATTGCTGGTAGCTCATAATTCAGTTATTTACCATAATGTCTACTTGTGCTTCTTGTTATTTATTTTTTATATTATATTCTGTATTAATATCTTTGTATGTTTCACATATACCAAACTTTCTCTTTCTTCAACTTGCAAATTATATATTTTCCTTGGCCTATTCTTAGAAAAAGAGATATTTCTTCAGGGAATCTGAAGCCACTGTGATGTCTAAGCAATTAGGCCATAGATAGGGTTTGGTAAAGCTCGGTTAAGCTCAAGCTCAAGCTTGATTGTTTTTCGGGCTTTCGAGCATTTGAAGTTGACATACTTACATTATCAAAAGACTTAATTAAAATAATATTTTTTAGAAATTTAAAAGAAACTTTTTCTTTACCTATACATTTATTTATGCATTTATATTAATGAAAAAATATTTTAAAATCACCAGTGCGTGTAGTGATTTATCTGATAGCTTCAACCTAATTTTGGTGCAAAAATTGTTGGTCATGGAAAATGCCCCCTCAGAATCAATCGACGTTGGTTTTATACTGTAAATAGCTTCAAGTAACCACTTTAAATTTACAGTCAATTCACCATTACTTTTTGACTTTAAAGCGGTTACCTCCCGGTAGTTTGCTGGTTGGAGCTTCTAATAGTACTCTAAGTGTTCTTCAAGAAAAGCAGCAACTTTGGTACTTGTTTCTGCTTTACTGCTTGATTTTTCATTTGATGAATTTGATGATGAATCTGGTGATGGAAATAAACGCTTCAACAAAGCAGCTGCTAGTTCTATAGATGCTTTTGATGGCGTTTTATTTAAGTTGTTTAGTGAATTCATCAAATCTGTGATGTTTTTGTTGATCCTGCTGATGATGTAAAAATCGTTATTTTCAGAAAGAGAACTACTTATTTCAGATTCTTGTTCAGTTAATTTCTCTCTTCTAAAGTTGATAGAAATATATGCTGTTCATAAAGTGGCTTGTTTTTCACCCATACCGTTAAGTGCCATTTCAATTGGTTTTAACGCCAAGACTATCGATTTTATTAATTCCAGGTTTAAATTTGTTAAAAGATGTTCAGATCCAAGTTCAATGAGTACATCCTTTGTAACGTCATACAATTTTACAAATGTTTCAAGCATTTTCAGCATTGAATTCCATCTGGTTTTACAATCCAAAGAGAGTTGTTGCTCTATCTGTAATTTTTCTGTACATTTAGACTTGAACAAATCTGAAAGCATAACAGAATTTTTGAAAAAAATTACAACTTGTCTCGCAAAATTTGTTTTCCTTGAACGATTCATTCAGTAATTCAGTTTCTAATGCTCAAACCATTATCAACATCATCAAAATCATCAGTCTCTCCTGAACTTTCGTCTATAACTTCTTCTGTCCCTGATTTTTCTTTATAAAATGTTTTTGTAACAGTCAAATGCAAGGCATGATAAGACATGCTTGATAAAAAGCAGCTGATTCTTTTCCGAACTTGATCATAACTCTTGCTCCATTCCCAGTAGTGTATATAATATCGTGCTTAAATGATAGGCCAAAAGGTTCAAGGTACCATTCTACGAGTTTTTGCATTTTTTTTTTGCATCGCAACTTCCAAAAATTCGTACCAGTCCAAGATTGATGCTTTTTTGGCAAACAGTATGCAGATTTATATTCAGGAATCTCCTGTTACTGATGCTGTTCCATTCATCCATGGTGATGAAGAATGTCTTTGATTCAGTAATATCTTTTTTAATATCATTTTTGATTTTTTGTTTCATAGTTTCCATATGGTTATGAAAAAAGAGCCATTACAGATTTTTCATTGGCTGGAAGCGTCATACCCTTTAAGGCCAATGATTGTCGAATAAACTCTGACTGAGTGATTTGATGAATTGATAAGCCATCTACTGCAGCCATTTTTGCAACAATCTCTTCAGTTGATGTTTTGATTACAAAATTATCCAAAGATTTTGTTTTTTTTTAGCTGTCGTTTCTGCCTCTGCTTTGTCAACATCAATGTTATGAACACTGCTTAGATGACGACGTATTGTTGATTTCCACGTAAAATGGAAATTTTTTTATTGCATTCATTGCAGCATGCATAATATTGGTCTGCCATGGAGAAATGACTCCAAACGGTTGATCTTTTGTTTTTCGGCATGATGACTATTCAAGAAAAAAATAGAAAATACTATTCTAGAATATGCGTGTATTCATAGCTGTAACTCTAATAATATTAACCATTTCTTACCAAAATATTGCTAAATTTTCAACTAAATTTGTGTTGAGATATTAGTAATCACATTCTTATTGGCTAAAAGGAAGTATAGCTTTCTGTCACGTCCTATGCATTAGCTTTCTGTCAGGTCCGAAGTATTCCGAAACTTAATCCCATTCTATTTGTATATGATTTGTTAAAACATGATCTGCTTGTATCTCTGTTTGTATTTCTGCTTGTGTCTCTGTGTATTACTCTGTAATAAATGTTTGTTTTGCGAAACAAGGCATTTTCAATGTTCAACAATTTCTAATTTTATTTTTTTACTGATTTAAAAAAAATCATTATTTAATATTACATACACGTTACTACTTAAAATTAAAATTATATTGTTTCTATCGGTAAAGATTAAAAATCCTTGCATTTCTATATACTGTAGGTGGCAACAAATTCATCTCTTTACCAAAACAAGTTTCAACACTGTTCAGGTAAAAGTACTGGTAAAAGTAAAAGAATTATTTTACAATCCTTTTATTGTTTAATTTTACTTATCCATAATACAATTACAAAAGCTTCATGACTTGTGGATGGAGGAAAAGGGCAGCCTTTGTAAGTCGTGAGACCCGAGCACCAATGGTAGAGGACTGGCTTAACTCAGATAGATGCCTGTAGGCTTTATCTGGGTATTTTACTGTATATATTTATAATGGAGGAATGAAATGGCAGATATTCTGGCGAAGGAGGGTTCTGAAGAACCATTACCAGTTACCAATTCATTGACATATCTTGAACTGTATTCCATTAGAAGACATGCAGACAGGCAAATTTGGCTCGTTCCCCTGAATCATCCCTTTTATCAAGCTGATTGTCCTGGATGATCTCTTGCTGTTGATTGTGATAGATGTGTTCATACAACACTTTTCCGATTCTTCAGTGGACACCTGAAAGGACTTACTTTTGAGCGAGGTCTCAAGATGTGCCCAATTTTTTCTAAATATCAAAATGCACCGTCATCACCGGTACACATCCTTGAGTGCTTGGAGTTGTCTCTTGAGGACCTTTACAACTTTTCTAAGCTTGTTTTCGATTTTCTGAAGGTGAATGGACTCGTGGACCTCGTCTAGTATATTCCTAGACAGGGAGATTAGGAACAACAACAACAATTACAAAAGTTTTAGTTTTTATGTACTTAAAAGGAGCAGTTTTATGACACCAATAAAATGTTTCTAGGATTTTTAAGAAATGTATTAAACAAACAACATATATTAAAAATAAATTGACAAATAAAAAACATTTTGTATGTATAGAGCTCGAAAGCCCGTCGGGCTTTGAGTTAGTTACATTGTTGAAGTCCTGTAACTTCTGTTCCGAGAATTCCGAATAACTTGTCAGTCGACATTTTCTCGTTTTCAGTAACTTCTCTGTCACCTTCTTCTCTATCGGTAGCAGTATTTTCTGGATTTAGAAACCATACTACAGATTTCGTCATTCATTAATTAATTGATGATTAAGAAGCAATGTCATCACAATGAAAAACTTCTTTTATATCATCTTCATTTATTACCGCTTTTCCACATTTCTTTACAAAATCTGTTAATTGGAAAATTTCATCTTTGTTTTGCGATATCCAAAAACCTTTAAAATTAGCGGCTACCATAATCAGATTTAGCTATCCTTCACTATACATATTTAGCTATGCATCATGAGCTTGGCGACTAACAAGTTGTTCTGTTAAATTTTATCTCGCTTCTATCGCGCACTGAGACAATTAAGCCTTAGTTTAGTTTAGTTATTTATTACACTTATGTCTATTTATTGCACATGCTTATGGCTTATCAGAGTTCTGAGTAAATAAATTCCCACATATACTTACTTATTGAGGGTTGGCGCTAGATATCTTACCGCCTGATGCAGTCTCTGTGGTTCCTAAATTCTGCAACTTGGCGCGGCCATACGAGCCCTGGCGCAGGTTCTGGGTTTATGTGAATAACAAATCAGCTATTCTTAATTGCCCTAAATGTAATCTTTGGATTTATGGGTATCAGCAACAAAATCTATTTTTAGCATATGGAAAGAAATTTTTGGTAAATTTTTCCTCGTCAACATTTTTTACTGCATTTAACTTAAATCTGTAATTATCGCCAAGCGTTAATGTCAACATAAAAGGTTACCACACTCTTTTATTATTCAATTACTAACATAAAAAAAATTGTTTAGTCATCGCTACATGAGTCATTACTCAAGTTGTCATTTTTTTAATAAACATGCAGTGATGAAAGGAAAGTATAATAACTTTCTTTTCGTCACCACATGTTTATAGATTCACCAGGTTGGTGTCGGATCAACAATGTATCTATGTGGAATGTTTTGGTTTGATGTGCCAAGCAGATATGCAGTAATGAAGCCAAATTACTGATCTTACAAATTTATGCTAAAATGATTGTTTCTTCAATATTTCATTTACTGTCGAAGTGAAATAAAGAATAGGGACTCTCCAGATGTTTTATTATGCGAGGAGGGGGGGGGAATTAAATGCACGTGTGTAAAGCCTACGAGAAAAATGTTGGTGGTGGTTTTGAGGTCCGGATTTTAGATCATTCCGGGTTATGGACGTCCGGATTTCGGACTTTGTACTGTACCAGATTACTTGTCCCAGTGGTATTTCTTATTTGCATTCAGTGTTGGATGGCAAGACAGCATATGCTGTTGGCATATATGTGAATATACAATAATATTCATAGAACATTTGTTTTGTTGACTTTCTCCTGAGACTGCATACCTATTGAATATTTGCAATGCATTTTAATTTCCTGTGAGATAATAAAAACAAAAACAACCAGTATTTCCTAGTATAAAAAATTATATTTTGCATCAGCCTTTTTTCTCTGAAGAATATAATTATAAGTATCTGATTAAAACAAATTTTTTTAAAGGCTCGTTTATTTGAACCCTGTACATTGTCATTGTGTGGAGAATGAATGATTATTTTGATTGTATTATTTTTATTTTTAATTTGAAAATGCCTGTCAGATCATTTCTTTATTCTATAACTGTTACTCAAAAATAAATAAATAAATAAATGGGGTAATGCTGGTCTTTCTTACACGTGCAGTGATACAAAAATAGTTGAGATGTGCTTTTGGTATAAAGAAAAAATATAAAGTATAAAGAAAAAAATATGTAATGATTATTTTGTTATATTTTTCGTTGTGCTAGAAGTTCATTTCTGTTTGTGAATTAACAGTTACATAATGCTCTGAGATTTAGTACTATTGTTGCCATTTTCTTAATATTAGAAATTATATTGATAATGCATAGCTCCCAGCAAAAATTAGGCTGACAAATTAATGTTTTCTGTTATACTTTCTTTAGGCAGTATTCTGTGGATTACAAATTAGACACATATTTAAAGATAGCTCGGCTTTATTTAGAAGATGATGATCCTGTTCAGGCTGAAGCATTTATTAATAGAGCATCTTTATTACAAGCAGAGTCAAAAGATGAGCAATTACAAATATATTACAAGGTAAATATAAAATTAATATAACTTTTCGTTTATTATTATTATTATTATTTAAGATTGTCATAAAAAGGGAGGAGAAAGGGTATGAAATAGTAGAAAAAAATATTTTTAAAATTTATATTTGAAAAAAAAAAAGGGGGGTTGGGGGTATCCTCTTTAAAGGAAGAAAATTGTGATTTTTTTTCCTTCCCCCTTGAGCTGTTGCTCTTTTAGATTTCAGATATATATAGTAAGGCATATTAGCTTGTAATCACATTATTATATACACTGTCTATTATCATGGAGTATATTATATTAAAACATGTAGATATTTATCTGCCTATATACTCAAGAATATTTTTACTTGTATACTTTAAGTGATCCTTGGAACTTTTTCTCAGTCAATCACCTGTAGTTTCAGACAATTTTGGTCTTCCCAGAAGTAGTCTTTTTAGAGAAGCTGGCTGTCATCAGTTTGCATAATTGATTTACCCCACCTAAAGTTCTTGGAACCTTAAAGAATAATACTGAAGTAGAAATGCAGTGTATTGGTTCCTCAATAAAATTTCATAATGAAATTCTAAATCAGTTAACAATAAATATTCGCTGAGTGCAAGGGGAGCCAAACTCATGTTACAAAATTTTAGAATTAAATATTTTCCATTCTTAGCAAACAGGAGGGGGCACGAAATTTTCAGCTGTCCCTGGGCACTAAAAATCCTAACTACGACTCTGGATTTATTTTTTACTTTACTTTCTCAAATACAATGAATGAAAACTGTTTTTAAATACAAAAAGCAAATGTTATATGTAAAGCTTATGTCCAATAAAACATCAGCATAAAACTTAGAGCATAAATTTTGCTAGAAATTTTTAAAATATCTTCTAATCATTCAATTATATGTGCTTACTTAACTTTCTTCATTCATTCATCATTTTCCCCCTTAATACAGATTCAAATAGTTCAATCATTTGATTATTTCCTAAATTATAACCTAATTGTTTTAATTTTTTCAATGGAATTTATATTTTATAAACAATTATTCCCATCTTCCTAGATTGTCCATTTGTATGTAATTCTGCTTTCAGTTTAAAAGTTTAGTGCTTTTTAAATGAATCTAAACTGCATGAATTATTTACTATTAATAGTGATTTTTTTTTTTTTTAACTCCTGAAGCATTGATGTGTAACATCACTGTTCCATTTTGTTTTACCTTTTTTAATATTCACATTTGAACTTCTGAATGTTAATGTTTTTATAGGGTGTTCAGTGTTTCCAAAGCTAGGTTTATTAATGTTCTTGAAATTATATTCCTTTATTAATGGAAATAAATGTTGTAACCAATTTATTGTATCAGTTTGTGCTTCTGGAAAATGGGAAAATTAGTATAAATAGTTCAAAACTATTAAAGTATATTGTGTAATAAATGAGCCTATAAAATAAATTACATTGTGCTGAGATAAAGATAAAAATGTCTCAATTTTAATATTATATAAAAGCCCTTTTTTCATAAAGAAAATAGCTTTCTGTCAAAGATACATTTCTTGATTTGTATAGCGAGTAGGAATATTTTAGGCTGATATTACAATTAAAGCATTTTTGTTGGTGATAAATAAATGTATTCCGTGGTCTATATCAGATTAAGGAATGGTCTTCATGAGAATGCCATAATTGTCGGTACTAGTGTTTGTTTATATTCTCAATAATGGTCACTTTTTAGAGCTGATTGTCATAAGAGTGTTCACGGTATTTGAATCATAGTTTTATCTTTAGTCATATTAAATGTATTGAAATTTTGAATTGAACTATTACAGTAGTGTGCATTTTTTCACTATTACCAAAAAATCTGTGTTTTATATTCTTTATCTCATATAATTATAAAACAAGGAAATTGTTGTAATTTTTATTTAGTTGTAGATGAGAGTAAAGATAAGAATGAATTTCTTGTTCATTCATTGTTATAATTAATTTTTATAAGGAAAAAACATTATGAGTGTTTTTAATTGAACTCCTTTTTTTAATGGGATTTACAGCAGCACTTTTTTGGCCTCTCTTACTGCAGGATATGTATAAAAAAGGATTTTAGTTTGTTGCATTTGCTGTGTCAATTGGTTTCATGAGTTAATGAAATTTATTAATATATTTTAGTGAAATTTATTTAAGATTTTCTTGATGCATCAAAACAATATTAATGACCGTAAGTAGAACTGTTATCATATATGCATGTGTAACCATGCAATTTGTTTCTAAGTGTGTGAATAAAATTTTATATATAAACTGTTATATTGATTATTACAATTATTCATAAGCATTGTAATGTTTTTAGGTTTGTTACGCTAGAGTTCTAGATTACAGGAGAAAGTTCATTGAAGCTGCTCAGCGGTATAATGAGTTATCATACCGCACAATTATACATGAAGAAGAACGAATGAGAGCTTTAAAAAATGCTTTGATCTGTACCATTCTTGCATCAGCCGGTAAATTATTTATGTTTTTTAAAGTTTAATGTTATTTTTAGTTTATATTTCCATTATTTTCATTCACTGAAATGTATTAAGCAGTAAAAATGTATGTTTCTGAAACAGGTCTCTGATATTAAAGATAGTAATCATTAAAGCAGCATCTATCTTATACTCTAGGGCACATAATATATTATGTTGATTTTTAATCAACATATTGATGAATATATCATGTTTCTAGAATGTAAAATATATGCTGCCCATTATAAACATTTAACGCCCTATTATGATACTCTCAAACACTCTCAAAATTTGTCACTGAATTTCAGTTCATTTCAATATAAAAAGATTAAAAAAGACAAAAAAGATTAAGATATTTAAAAGTGATTTTAAAATATTTTTTGCATCCCCAAAATTAAAATGTATCAAATGACACTAAAAAATTAAAATATATATTTTGTAAAAGATTCAGTGGTCTTGCTTTTACTGTACGTTAGTTTTGACTCATAATGGGTCACAACCAAAAAATATCAAATGAGAATAAAAGTCCATAAAATTAAAGATTTTTTAATATACAGTGTTATTCAGAATTCCCTCCTGGGTTTCGAAGTGCTATAGTAAACAAGTAATAATAATAATAAAAAAAGTTTTAGTCAATTCCTACTTAGTTCAACAAAGAAAAATTTTATTTTAGTTACTTTAAATTTGTTCAGTGAAGTAATAATGAAACAGCATATCTTAGTTTCGATAAACAGAAATAAATAAGTAGGAATTGACTTTAATATGTGAAAAAAACTGTATTAACATCAAGTGTCATCCACTACAAGTTTAAAAAATGTATTTGAACTTGAGTGGATGAATAAAAAGTATTTTATTAACGATTGAAAATTTGAACAAGATATAGGGAGAGTATGAGCTACTAGTAGGAATTTAAAAATCCAATACAGAAAATAAGAACATTTGAAAGAATACAGAAACAATTCAAGTTTTATTTACAATGCTTACTGGTGTTCTCTGTGTGAACTGTTGGTCACGCGGCATACATCAGTGCGATAGTCCAGTTCCTGCCACTCTCTAATCAACATTATTGACAGCACGTGCAATCCTTTCACCCAGTTCAGCTAAATCACGTGGCAAGGGGGGTATGAAAACTTGGTCTTTTACATACCCTCATAAGAAAAAGTCACAAGTTTGTTAAATCAGGCGAGCGTGTGGGGCCTTCGCAAAAGAGGTACATAATTTTCGGAAGCTCGCCCAATCCAAAGATGAGGTAAATGTTCATTCAGGTACTCACGTACATCACACAGAAAATGGATAGGTGTTCCATCTTATTGAAAAATGAAGATGTCATCCTCATGTTCCTCTAATTGTGGCATTAACCACAATTGTAGCATATCCAGGTACACGACACCAGTAATGGTCGTCTATGTAAAAAAAATGGTCCATAGTTGCGTGAGGAGGTGATAGCGCAAAGTACGTTAACTTTTGGGGAATCACATTGGTATTCCACACTATAAAGAATTTTCGGTGCCAAAAATGCGTAAGTTATGGTGCTTTACCATGCTGGACAAGTGGAATGTTGATTTGTCACTAAAAATAATTTTCTGCATTAGTGTTTCACGTTCTTGGACATTGATGCAAAATTTTGCATGAGAAATGCAATCTGACAGGTGCAACTCTTGCCGCAATTGCAATACACAGATTTTTGCGTAGAATCTGCCACACTGTTGGTTGTGATATCCCCAATTCTTGGCTTGCACGAACGATTGATTTCGTCCGGCTCTTCAACCCTGTACATCGCTTACGGCTTGTGCAGATGGACTGGGATGACCACTTTGTTTCTTATCCCACAGGCATCCTGTTTCTTTGAACTTCTGGTACCACACATGAATTGTTTTGTTACTTGGTCTTTGGGTCTGATATTTCGTATGAAATGCCCACTGAACCAAAACCACTGATTCAGATTTTGAAAATTTTAAGACACGAAAGGATTTCTGTTCGCCTGTAAATGCCATTTTTATTTACTCATTGCCTTCAGTCTGCCTGCTACCTGCCTTTTCACTGCCAGTGCCGTCTACCGTCAACTGCTGACGATAAAACTTGAATTGTTTCTGTATTCTTTTAAATGCTTTTTTTTGCTGCATTCATCTTACTTTTTTTTTACTAAAATGCTTTGAAACCTGGAAGGGAATTTTGAATAACCCTGTATAATCCGTTTTCAACCCCCCCCCAAAATGGGAGACTAAGTGTTTCACCCCTGTAACATTTAAGTATATTTCTATTGTGACCCCCCTGCTGAAAGGGGCATCTTTTTCTGGTTTTTTAATGTAAAATAGAATGATTTTTTTAAAACCCTACAGACTCAAAAAAAGGGGGGATAGAGAAGATTTAAAAATATACATAAAATTAAATAAAATGGGAACTCAAGAGTTCGAAAAAATGTATAGTTTAAGATTTTTCTATTTCATATGTATATTATCCATCTAACATGCCTTTACAGTTGAATATATGATTTCTTTTTTTAATTTTCTTAATTGTTGTATGATAAAGATCTCTGATATTTTTTAAGAAAATGCTCTTTTTCTTCATCATCAACTTCTATTTTTGCAATGCATGAATCTCCATATTTAATTTAAATTATTAAATAAGATCAGATTATTTCTCCCAGGATTTAAACTTTTCAGTTTTAAAGTTTTAGAATAATATCCAAGTCAATTGAATTTCTTCCATTTATTAGGAAACACTTTTTAAAAATGTGTTTATTTATTTAGGATATCTATAAAACGAGAATGTATAAAGTATATCATTACATCTTAAAAACAAATCTACAATGTGATCATTATCTGTGCATCATAACCTTTTTGTAAGAATTGGTATAATGTGTGTAAATTTTTGGGACTGTAGTTCCAAATCTTAAGTTTCTATAGCTGAAGGAGAGGAAATGATGAAAGGAAAATGTGCTCATGCAACCATGGATATCTACTACAGATTTGAACCAGAAGCCATTGGTATGGCAGCCAGCTTCTGCTAACCATTATACCAACCATGGCTAGTTATTTTAGGTGATTAGAAGTTGGATTGTTTTGAGAGCTGGAAATAATATCACTGCAACCTTAAAAATGATATAAATTTCTCTAGAGGTTAGCAGTGAAAAATAACTATGTGTGTGGATTTAAGCTTTAAAATATTAAACTTTATAGCTAAATGCCTCAGTGTTTCAGAATTTATAAATTTTACAGTTTTTTAAAAATTTGTTATTATTACCCATTAGTATTTTTACTGTTTTATTAACCAAAAAAACTTTTTTTTTAAAATTCTTTTAAAGTATCTTTATGACATATGAGTTCCATATTACAAATTTGAGTATGAAAATAAAGTTTGAGTAGAAATATTGAATTATGTTAAATTGTTTTTATTATTATTAGGTCAGCAACGTTCTAGAATGTTAGCTACTTTATTCAAAGATGAAAGATGTCAACAGTTGCCCACATATGGAATCTTAGAAAAAATGTATGTACAAAAATAATTATTCCATTTCCTGTAAAATTATAATATACTTTTGTTAAAATGTAATGCAGCAGTGAAAGGGAAGATAATATGTACATTTTCTGAAATATTTTGCAACCTTGCATGCTTATAAAAATTGTTAAATTTTGCTAACTATAAATGTTTTTGTATCAATTGAAAGAAAATTTAGTACTAATTTTTATGGAAAAATGTCTAAATATTTATATTATAAAAATAAATTATAATTGAATAATACAATCATGATTGATCTGCATTCAAAAATGCAGTAGTCTTATTAATTACCTTTTATTTAATGTTTCGTCTCTCAATCATGTAAGCTTTCCAGTCATATCAAGTTTTCTGACTAGGACAAGACTGATTATCAGATGTGAACAATGAAATGGCTTCTGCTGTGAATCATTATTTGCATGTTTTTGTTGTGTGTTATTTCTTTTGAGGTAATGTAGAAATGAATAAAGTATACATAAAGAAAAGAATAGGAATGTTAAAAACAGTTTAAAAAGTTCTAGTAATTGAATGAGTAAACATTGGAAAGAAACTGGATTTTGAGATTAGGGTTATCTATACTGTAATTTTTAAATTTTTAATTGTCATGTTGCATTCCATTATGTTGCCAAATCTTTATGCATGCAGTCTGACAAACTGCCAATTTATAAGTTTTTATTCTATAATGTAGAAAAATTATCTTTTGAATTATAGAAATATTTATTATGATTGCATTTTTATGTTTAAGTTTACGTCTCTCCATAAAAATTTTAATGCAGCTCGTAAAATTTATTAGAAATGAATTAATTCTCACTTGAACATGTATTTGGAATTTTATTTTTTTTTGGGGGGGGGACATTGCTATGGTCATTGGGATGTTGCATGTTTTCATCTGCTTCTGCATTTAAAACAGTCAATAACATTTTTGGGGGGGGGGGCATCTGAGAGAGATTTGTGTTAATCGCTCTCAAGTTGATAAGAATTTTATTCAAAATCTGTATCAAACTAAAGTTCGTTCCCCCTTGTGCTTTATTTTTTGTTTTTCCTTCATAATTTCAAAATTAAAATAGCTGATTCTGGACTTATAAAGAGTGGTTAACATGTCCAGCTAATATTCAAGGATCCATAGTTCAAATTCTGAAAGAACTTAGTTAATATTTTACACTTTTCAAAATAACTTATGGTTTCCATTCAGGCATTAAAGTAATGATCACTACAGTAATGATAAATTTTCATCTTTTAGATTTTTTCAACTGGGTTTGGTACTTGTTCTCATTCACCATCTAAGTGAGAGAGAATGTAAGGAATTATTGCATTCCCTTGGAAACTTTTGCAGGGTGGTTATTATTCAGTTAGAATTGAAAGATTCACAATTCAAATCCTTGCAAAAACACAATTGATTTTTCACCTTTCTTGCTCTGAAAAACCTAACACTCTCTATGCAGTTAAGTAAAACCATTTCATCAGCTATGCTTAATTAACCAAACCAAGCCTACAATAGCTGATCATTAAAGTACATGAACAAAATTCAATAAAAAAATATTGAAGCTTTTATTGGTGGACAGCTTGCTTTAAAGATTTGCATACCTATCTTTTATATGGTGCAGAACCATTTATTGGTAAAATTTGAATTTTCTCTCAATTTTTATATTTTAGTTACCTCCCCCACCCCCTCAAAAAAGAGGTCTGAATTCTTGCCATTCATTTTGGTGTCAACCACATCCTAATTATATTTAATTAGATTGTATTATATTTTTAAGAGTTTTTATGAACAACAAAAAAATATATACAGGGTGTATCAGTACAGCGGTGACAAACTTTCATGAGAGATAGAGTACACCTAGATGATGGGAAATCACATAACAGTGCATGGTTGGAAACGCTTTCCTGGCATGGTAGTCATGACACAAAAAGCAAAAAATCTGATGTGTACACCACATGACTTCCTTGTATTGGAATATTAAATTGAAATATTAAATTATACGCATTTTTTTCTTGCATTTCATTTAAACTTATTGGATTGGATAAAATCTACTTCGCCGACAGCGCATAAACCACAATAGAATAAATGCATTCTTTAAAATTCAGTATTTGTTTACCATAGCGACACTCTGGTGCTAGATTCACTTAACAGGATTAATAATTATATAACAGTTAACTTATATAATAATTATATAACTGAAACTAAGTTAACTGTTATATAATCCAATAATTATATAACAGTTAAGGTATATATTTCGTTCATATTATAACTCATAATGCACAAATGTTATATCATTTAAAGAATAGAATTATCTAATCATTGCCACATGTTCTATTCAAATACTATAATAAAGATAGAATGATGTATAAAAGAAATTAAGCAAACAAAACAAAAAAGAAACAGTTTTTCACAGACGATTGAGTATTTCTCATTCAATTAATTCAGTTTTCACTTTGCGACAAGGCAAAAATACATAAAAACTCAAAATATCTGTATTAAAAATTATGAAGTAAATCTTAAATACTTATTTCCTCGAAAAAATTCCAGAAAGGATTAAGCATGATTTAATTGGCAATAATAAATGAAGGCGTTATTTTTGTGTTGCGAAGCTTAGTCTCTCTAGATTGGCAACAAATCTACAATTCTGCTGTTTCAAATGTAAACAAATATGTCCGCCATGTTATTTAAAACTTAACCGCACTTAAACAGCTTTTAAATTGTTGATAATTGTATAAATATTGCTTCCAGAATTACGAAAGGCATAAAAACTTTAACCGGAAGATAAAACAACATAATTCAATCATTTTTAAAGCAAAAAATGTACAATTTACAAACATTTAAGAGTAAATAAATTGAGATCACTGAGCCGGGTAATAGAGTGGATATATATATAAATATATTTATATACGTTTGGTGTGGCCGATTGCAACCAAAATACGAGGTGCACATCTACATGTTATAGCAGTCCTATATACAAAATTTCAACGTTCTGAGGCTACTCATTTTTGAGTTATGCAAGATACGTACGTACGTACATATGTTCGTACAGACGGCACGAAAAATTCTCTTCAGAATTAATTTTAAAGCAGTTTTATAATTTTTTAAGGTAAAGAGTATTTTATTCTGTCCTTACGTACAGATATCACGCAAAAACATCGTTTGATAGCGGTCAAAAAGGATATTTTCGTTGAAATATGCTGCCTGAAACTTTTCGTGATTACAATACTTCTTTTTTACTTCGTACAAGGAAGTAAAAAGGAAGGACACAAACAGTGAGACAAAACATGTTTTATTATTTTTAGTGCAGCAGAAACCTACAAATAAGAATAAAAACAAACAACAATCATCATTAAAGAAGGTGTTTGAAATTATGACCCCAACCGTGATGCAGGCTTCACTTCTCGAGCGCATGGAAGATCTGCATCACGAAGGGAAGATGCATGACACGCGGTTCCTGCATCATGGTCCAGGTCATAATTTCGAACACCTTCTTTGATGATGATCATTGTCTCTTTTTGTTGTTTTTTCTTTGTTTTTGCTGTACTATGAATAAAAAACATGTTTTCTCACCCTGTTCATGTCCTTCTTTCTTGACTGTTGTTTCGTCACTACTATGCTAGGAAAGCATTTCCAATCATGCATTAGTATGTGATTTTCCATTGTCTAGATGTACTCTATCTATCTTGAAAGTTTGTCGATGTTGTACTGATACACCCTGTATACAAATTAATTTAGTCTAAATTGAAAATCAGTATATTTTAATTGAAAATAAATGTAGCTTGTATGTTTTCTTCATACATGTAGAAATCTGAATGTCATTAGAAAATAATGAATATTCCTTATAATTAAAAAATACATATAGGTATCTAGATAGAATAATCAGACGAAGTGAACTACAGGAATTTTCTGTCATGCTACAACTTCACCAGAAAGCTACTACACCCGATGGTATAGTATTTATATATTTTACTTTTTTTGTTTTAATCTTGAAATAAAATCACTGTACCAGTGACTTTTAAATTATTCTAAATTTTAGTGCATTATGAGTATTTATGCATTAAAATACAATTTGGAAATGTCTGTATTTTTAACATTTTCTAAAGTGTCCTTTATTATAAAAGAATATTTTAAATCACCTTTAGCTGAAGACATGTTTGGAAATTCACTGACAAAGTATTGCAAAATGAATTTTGTAGATTAACTAATAATAATAATAATAATAATAATAATAAACTACTGTTATAATCACTTCAATCAATCGGAGAATACTTTTGGCCTATTAAGGAAAAGAAAGGAGTAAACATTGAAGAACTTAAGATATGGACTTTGAGGAATTAAGGTAAAGGTAACAGAGCTTTGTTTGTATAGTTGTAAGCCCTGCTTTTAATAATAGTGAAAGAATGTAGAGGAATAATACATTATCACAGTAACCAGAATTAAAAATTTTGATGCACCACCCAGACAGCATACTGGTTAGTGACACAGGCTGCCATACTGTTGGGCCTGGGTTCGAATGTTGGATGAAGCAGGGATGTTTGTCAGGTGTATGTATGGAATAGGGCATTCAAAGTACGTAGTGAGCTGAAAGTCCTCCCAAATGGTTTGGTGGTAGGGGAAGAGGGAATAGAAGTTTCAGACCTGACCCCCTGGGTCCTCCTCCTCTTAAAAATTGGAGTGGTACTGGGCAAACCCATGCTGTCACTTATATCATGCTGAAGGCCCTTGCCAACAATGAGTACAATCTTGCACTCCTTGCCACAATAAAATTTGTGAGCTCATTCATCTGATTAGATCAGATAAGTAAGAATTAGCCACAACATAAATTTTGACTGAGAATTTGGCAACTTTTGTTATTAAAATGTTTTGCTTCAGTAAGGTTTAGTGTGAAAATAATGTGGTCATGCACAGGTATAGAATACAAATTATAACTTTGATTATGTAATTCTAGAGTAAAATGAAACATATTATTAAAAAGATAAAATCTCATTGTGAACATTCATTAAGTTTTATTGTTTAGAAATGTTTATAACCTGTCATATTCCAAGATAGGGGCCTTCAAAGAATTTTTGTTTCTTGTGTACTTTTCATTATGTAGAAATGAAAGAATTGTTACAATTGACAGTTTGTACAATTACTTATTTTTAAACTAATTCAGAAGCTAAATGCAAAGTGAAGAAGAGTGTATTTTTAATGTTAATGAGCTTTTTTGGCATCAGATCTTTTTAAAAAGAGCCTGATGCATTTCAAGAGACAGTGTAATATTTTTATTTATTTATTTATTACAGCAATAGTAAGGTAATACAAGCAATACTTATTGCCATCTGTTAAATATGCACTTGTGAAGCCTGAATTTTGAATTTATTTATTTTTTATTTATTTATTTTTTTGTGCAAACATGATAATTTTTTAAAACAAATTCAGTGATTTAAAAGCAGTATAGTTCCATTGCCCAAAATAAAATTTTTTCTAAAAAAGGGGTACTATTATAGTGGATTTCATGAAAAGTAAGCAATTTTTAAGTTAAAAACATTGATTGAAAACAAGACATTTTTATTTGCTTGAACGTATCTTTATTTATAAATATGTTTTTCTTAGGTTCAACTATTTTGGACAGAGCTGTAATAGAACACAACTTACTTTCTGCTAGCAAGTTGTACAATAACATAACTTTCGAGGAATTAGGAGCACTTCTTGAAATCCCTCCAGCTAAAGTAATTTTTTAAAAAATATGTTGTATAGATTGCTTTCTTGAAAGTTTACTTTTAGTTTTTTGTTTGCAGTCATTAACTTTACAGTATATAGTTTTTTGTTGTATCGGAATTATTCAGAATTTTTAATGTAGTAAACTTAGTTTCTTTTAGACAAATTGGTTTCGCACTTATGTTAGATCCATTTGTTAAAAATATCTTCATTAATAGTGGAATTATTGAATTTAGAAGTCCACAACTGTATGCAAATTATGTATGCTTTAGATGAGCGATTCTGAATCGGTGGTACGCAAGACAAAAAATAGGTGATACATAAAGAAAAAGTATTTTAACTATTAAATTCAAAAATTAAATACCCTAACATCTTGTTTAAGTTTTGTCTCACTTGTACTTGTACATTTATGAGATCACTAATACTTGTACATTTATGAGATCTGAGCTTTGTTAAAGGTAAATAGCCGCTGATAGATTTTAGCAAAATAATCCGTTTTATTAGCAAAATAATCCGTTTTTATTTTCACAAATATTCTTTTAGCCATAGACATAACAAAATTTGTCATAAATGATGTTTTTAAAAGGAGTAATAGAAATAAATGTGGTATTTAATTTGAAATAAAAATAAGTTTCTGTGAAAAGATAATAGTATTTTGTTAATTCTTTTAGAGTTGATCAATTTATTAACATGTCTACTTTTTATATCGCCACCATTTCCTGGCTCATATTGCTCTGTTTTCAATTAGAATAATTTTTTTCGTCTATTTTCTATCTCTGACAGCAGGTATTTTGTCTTCTTATTGCTTTGTATTTTCTGCATGATCTGAGAATACCGTCATTTGATTTTGAAGAACTTGTAACATATTGTGCATTTAAATATTTGTGAAAAAATAATAAAACAAACTTAGATTTTTCAAAATGAAAAAATGGCTAGGATTGACTAAGCAGAAAAGTGATGATTCACATGTGTTGGATTCAGATCAATCTACTAGTACTAAGAATATTGAAAATAAAAGGAACATTGTTTATAGAAAATATAATGAAAGTTATTTATCATTTAGGTTTACTTGGAATGGAGATGAAATGGACTCAACCTCAATGTGTTGTTTGTGGTGAACTATTATCCAATCAAAGTATGAAACCATCGTTTCTTAAAAGACATCTTGAGAATCTAAGCATGCCAATTTAAAGGATAAATATGAAAAATATTTTAGGGTAAAAAATATTTAGGGTTCAAATATAGTAAAAAAGTAATGAAAGGTTTTGTTACTTGTTAGAGTCATTAGGTTGTTTTGACGCTGGGGACTTTAAAAATGAGCAGTGCCCTCACCGGGACTCGAACCTGGTCCTCTCAAATATCTGCCGAGAGTGCTAACCGTTACACCATAAAGGCATGTTAAAAGACGGGAGAAAATACCTTATAAGTGAAAAAGTTTTGGAAGCTAGTTATCCAGTAAGCCTAAGAATTGCCAAGACTGAGTAGGCTCACACTACCTGAGAAAACTTTACATTACCAGCAGCTAAATATATCGTTTTAAGTATTCAACAAAAAGTTGCTAATGAACTTAATAATATTCTGTTATCAAATGATAAAGTAAGTCGACGAATTCATGAAATGGCAAGTTCCATAAAAGAAACATTCAGAAAAATAAAACACAGTGAGTATTTCGCATTGCAGTTGGATGAAAGTACTGATATAACAAACTTTGTTAAATTTTAGTCGAATTAACATTTCGAAGAAAATAAACAAAATGCCGAAGAGTATTTATTTTGTGAACCTCTTCATGACAGAGCAACTGCAAATGAAATATTCAAAGTAATTGACAATTTAAGTATTGAGAATGATATTCCCTGGAATAAGTGCATTGCTGTATAGAGTGATGGAGCTCAGGCTTTAAAAGGAAAACATTCCGGTGTTTATTCATTGCTCCATTCATCGGGAAGCTTTAGTAGAGAAATCAATCTCCGAAAACCTGAAAATCATTTTGAATCAAGCTTGTGAAAATTGTTAATTTTATTAAAAGCCAAGTTTTAAATTCAAGAATGTTTGCAATTTTATGCTAAGAGATGGGCAGTGAACATGAAACGCTTTTGTTACATTCTCAGTAATGTGGTTATCCAGAGTCAAAGTTTCAAATTATCTTTTTCAACTTCGATCAGAATTTCGAATTTTCCTCTGCGACATAAAATTTGAATTGCAAAAATGTTTATTTAGTGATTTATGATCTACGCTATCATATTTAGCTGATATTTTTAGAAAGTTAAATGAATTAATCAAGGACAAAGTGTTAATTTGCTTACCATTAGAGATAAAATAAATGAAACGATAAAAAATATTCAAGCTAATAATCAAAGAAGTGCATGATAATATTGTAGACCATTTTAGAAAATTCGGTCTTTTATCAAAGAATTACATGAAATTTTTTTACCATTTTTAGAAAGTTTTATAACCGAAAGTAATATGAAAATAAAATGAAAAATTAGCATCTGACATTAAAAATCATTGTTTTTCATTGATATATAATTTCAACATGCATTTTCCCAAGAATTACAAAGAAGAAAATTGGATTAGAAATCCATTTGAAGGAAAAGAACAACTGATTCAAATTTCCTGTGATCAAACTCTAACTGAATATTTCAAAAATAACACGCTTGTTAACTTTTTGCTAAACCGAAAAATTGAATTAAAGGCACTGTAAATAAAGCTATTAAATTTTTGCTGCCATTTTGTGCAGTCTATTTGTGTGAACAAGGATTTTCTTCCATGTTATACAGTCAAAAGTCGTTAATTCGGACACCCATAATCCGGACCTCAAAGCTACAAACTGCGCATGCGTTGCGCAGAAACCTTTACGGCTGCGAATATGCGTGTGCGCGTGCGCAAATACGTTTACGAATGCGCATTTAATGTATAACGGACGGTATAAGCTACGCTAAAATTATCTAATTCAGTTAATGTTGCAGATTGCGTTGTTCCTTAATCTTCGAATTGGATTCAACTTATTACTTTTTGCAGACTGTTAGAGCCATTTTATAAAAGTAAGCTCGAACTTTCGATTATGTCAAATAGAATTTCTGATATATATTTACTAATATGTAAAGGATCTACAAAGTGAAAGTATGTTTCGAAATCCAAAATCTGTTTATCAATTTCAAGCTGCTCTGCGGGGGGGGGGGGGGGGGGGGCGTCACGGCGCGCAATGAATTGGAAGTTGATCTGTCAGCACTATCCTTATCTTCAGGGCAGATGTTTTTATTTTATTTGGCTTATAATTCCTTACTAAATGTAGTATTTCATCTTGATGTACTCCGTCTTTGATATGATTTAAATCAAGTTCCTCATCATTATAATTCGCTTCCGATAGCGAAGAAAGTGACAGAGGTTATTGAAAACGAAAAAATTTCGATTAACAAATTAGTTGATATTCTCGACACAGCAATTATAGAACTTGAACAGTGGAACTTCGTAACTGAACAAGAAATTATGTCTGTTTATAGAGTTTTTGTCTACGTGTGTAGTTAGCTCTTTGAGTTGAATCACTTTCAAATTATCTGAGAATGGCACAACCAGTTCTGTGACTAACACTTGCACATGCTTTTTTCTGGTTAGTCCCTAAAATTCACATTATTGTACTTCAATCAATGTCTGTTGAAAAAGTTCAATATTTGTTTTGAAGAAAAATTATATATTTAGAAATTTCATGAATTTCTTAATTACCCTTAACAATTATATAATATTTGAAAAACAACATCGAACAAAATCATTAACTTCGTAATGATTACTTTGTAAACGAAACTAACATTTTACAAAGATTGCTACACTTGCCAATGGACAATAAAATGCACAAATTTAGTAAACATAAAATCCCCGAAAATAGAATTTAATTTTGATGAATGTTCTACAGTCAAAAGTCTTTAATCCGGAGTCATGAGGACTTCGGCGATTCTGGATTATCGATTTTTCCGGATTATAGATCATCAGTTTAAATCTGGTAAGATGGCATGCAGAAATTACAAAATTAAAAATATGAAACCGTAATTTATGAAATAAAGAACAATTATGATCTAAAGGGTATCAAAATTTACAAAAAGAAAAAGCTTAATATTTATTTGTTTACTTTATTAAACATTTCCTTCAATGTAAGTTGCTTCGTTTCATGTGATAATACTTTCTCTTTAATTCTATTAAACAGACATAATTTCTTGTTTAGTTACAAAGTTCCGCTGTTCAAGTCCTATAATTGCTGTGTTGAGAATACCGACTAATTTGTCGGTTTTCGTTTTCAATAACCTCTGGGTCACTTTCTTCACTATCGGAAGCGAATTATAATGACGAGGAACTTGATTTAAATCATATCAAAGAGGGAGTATATCGAGATGAAATACTACACTTTAGTACGGAATTATATAAACCAAATAAAATAAAAACATCTGCCCCTGAAGATAAGGGATAGTGCTGACAGATCAACTTCCAATTCATTGCGCTGCGTTTCCGCGACGTCCCACACCCTCTGCGCAGAGCAGCGTGAAATTGATAAACAGATTTCGGATTTCAAAACATACTTTCGCTCTTGTAGATACAAATTACATATTAGTAAATATATATCGGAAATTCTATTTGACATAATCTTTCTAATCTCTCATAATCTAATAATGACGTTTCTGCCCCCCTCTGCCGCAGAGCAGCATGAAATTGATAAACAGATTTCGGATTTCAAAACATACTTTCGCTTTGTAGTAAATATATATCGGAAATTCTATTTGACATAATCGAAAGTTCAAGCTTACTTTTATAAAATTGCTCTAACAGTCTGCAAGAAATAATAAGCCAGATCCAATTCGAAGATTAAGGAACAACGCAATCTGCAACATTAACTGAAGATAACTTTAGCTTAGCGTATAACTCCGTTACACATTAAATGCACATGCGCACAAACATATTCGCAGCCATAAGGGTCTTATGCGCTCTCGTAAACGCCTGTGCGCATGCGTGAACGCGACGCATGCGCAGAAAGTTTGTAGCTTTGAGGTCCAGATTATAGATCATTCCGGATTATGGGTGTCCGAATTAACAACTTTTGATTGTACAAAACAAAACAAAAATAAGTGGCAACACAAAAATAGGTTTTACGCAAAGAAAAAGTATTTTAATTATTAAATTAAAAAATTAAATACCCCAACATCCTGGTAAAGTTTTTTTCTCTAACACTCGTACATTTATGAGATCTGAGCTTTGTTCAAGGTAAATAGCCGCTCATAGACTTTAGCAAAATAATCCATTTTTATTTTCACAAATATTCTTTTAGTCATAGAAGTAGTATAACCATTTAAGTATTATAACTTATTTTAGTAGTTAAAATGGTAACCAATTTTTAGTTTAATATTTTTTATGTGTGCATATTTAATACAAATAGCCAATAGGTTGTGCAAATGGCAAAATATATATTTTTAAATATTTTTATTGAGAACTTGAAAAATAATCATTGTAAAATGTAGTAGTAGTACTAAAGCTTTTCAGTTTTTGTTTAGATGGTACTTGTTAATCAAAAGGTTAAGAACTGCTGCTTTAGATTATCCAGAATTGAGAGAGATTATAGATACCAAAAATGGCAATTATTTTTCATTATTCCAACCATATCTGTACTTGTTAGTGTTTTAAGTACAGTGGTACCTCATAGATGTCCTATTTGAACACAAAAATTTTTGTTTGGTATACATTATTTGTTTGGAATGAGACTCGTCGTATGAGTCATGACTGCACACACTACATTTGTTTACTTCTTTGAAAACAATGCTACAACTGCATCTGAGCATCACTATGTCTGTTGCTAATGTGCAGTAAACAGCCCACACTATAACTGAATTTTCAAGTGAGTTTGTGTTTTTCCATATAAATTTTTTTGTAAATTCATTCGCAGTGAGTTTTGGAAAAGTTTATGAGAAAAGCAGGCAAGGAAGAAAATTGAAAAAGTCACCATGGAGGTGAAAAAAAGAGATTATTGAAAAGTGTGTAGATGGCTTACATATCTAGGATTTGGCTGTTGCAATATTGTTTGACGAGTGTAGTGATGTCTTTGATTGTGAAAAGCAATGAAACTATTAAATCTGCTAACATTGTGAATGGGGTAAAATCGATTATCAGACAAAGATCAGAATGTTAGAGCATGTTTAAAAATTGCTTTGTTCTGAATAGCAGAAAAACATTTATCAATAGTATTTTAGACAGTGCTTCAATGATTTATGCAATGTGTTACACCCACTGCATTTGTATTTTAATATTAAACAGTGCTGTAATAAGAAGAAATTTTTTTATTAGAATTGAATAATTAATTTCCCTTTTTCATATTGGAAAAGTTCATTTGGTATATGTACAAGGATCTTGAATGGATTAATGAAGTAAACTGGGGTACTACTGTATATTAAATTTCTTCTGTTAGTGTGAGTATAGTGGATGCCTCAGTTTGTTTACAGTTCCCCCCCCCCTCCATGGATCATTGGCATTTACCTACTAGGGGAAGAGAACCTTTTAAGATTACTACAAAATTTCTGGATAATTCTGAGGACATAGCAGAATTTTTTAAGCTATATTATGGAACCTAGTTGAGAAGTATCTGTTAGAGATCCAAAAATTAGGCAATCAGACTGCTGCTACAGTTAGCTATATAGCAATAGAACTAATCAAATCATGTAGTACTCATATCGATGCCAAAATTGATTTTAATGCCTAGCATTCATTGTTCATGGTTCTGTATAAATCATTTGTATTAAAATTATTCATATATTCAGTCTTAATTCTGTGTATGGAATTTAATTATAAATGATAATTGCGATATAAATTCTGGCTGATTTGCACTAGAAATTCATGTATTTCATTTCAGTTCTATGCATAGAATTCTGAATGATAAATGTGATAAAATTCTGTACAGCATAGTATTTTTCTAATATTCAGCTTGTGCTGAATTTATTTTAAATGTTATAAATTTTTATAAATTATATTATTAAATTTTTGTAAGATCAGTGAACCAACCACAAGTTTGAGCGACTTCTTAAAATACAAAGCCCAATTTTAATTTGAAATCTTTGTTTTGCTGAGATAGTTTTGTACTTTTTTCTAGGCTGAAAAAATTGCATCTCAGATGATTACTGAAGGTAGAATGTATGGGTACATTGATCAGATTAATTCCATTGTAAATTTTGAAAGTAAGATTTATTTTTTAAACTTTATCTGTGACTTAATGAATATTTGTATCCATTGCATTTTATGTTTCAACTCATTTAATTTGCTAAAGGGGAAAAAAATCTTACAATCTGATTTTTCAGCTTAATATCTGGCATGTACTTGTAATTTCTACTTAGAAACTTGTGAGGAAAAAAAAAAAAAAAAAAGATCAACTTTTAGAAGTATAAAAAATACTTACTTATACATCTGTATTATTAAATAATGAAAGAATCTGTGTGCATGTATGTTCCGTGCAATGCGGAAAAATGGTGGTATTTAGAACTACCAAATTTTGAATGGATATGGTCCTCCGTCCAAACATGTACACTGCTCAAAAAAAAAAAGGGGGGGACAGTGCTATACCTCGCATTCTACTGGGCCGAATAACAAAATTCAAACTGCGTTTTTCATGTCTCGAAAGCGCGACTTAGGGTATATATTAGATTTATAAATAGCACCATTCTAACATAGGTATTTTTACACAAAATCGGACTTTTTCTGAAATAACATACCAATTTTTTTTCCATATTTCGATTCTACAACTCAAATTATGCCAAAATGCCAAGTTTTGTAAAAATCGTACGAGTAGTTTTTAAAATATTAGCTCTCAAAATTCTAGCTCCTCAATGTTAATTGAATTTGGCAAATATTTATTAATATCTCTTTTTACTTCCTGGTATGAAGTAAAAAGGAAGTATTGTTTTATTAAACTTTTTTGATTTTTCCTTTCACATTTCGAAATTTAGGTTCATTCCAAATAAAATTTACCCATTTTTTGTGTTTTATTTTTTAAATTTCTATTTTCAAATAATTTTTATAAATTTTTCGAAAAAAAATTTGAAATATAACCTGTAAAATTTTTACCATCATCTTAAAGTAAGTGTATTTCTAAGCATACATGCAAAAAATTAGACTTTTTTATTCAAAATTTTCTAAGATATACACGAATTTACATATTTTCGTGTTTTGAAACTTCATGACAAGTGTATTATTTTTAAATTATTCAGACAACTTAAGAGCTCTGTGTCTTACATCTTCATAATGGTAGAAAATTTCATTGCACAGCCTATGTACACTGCTCAAAAAAAAAAAAAAAAAAAAAGGACAGTGCTGTATCTTCCGTTTTATTGGGCCGATTGACAAAATTCAAACTGCGTTTTTCATGTCTCGAAAGCGCGACTTAGGATATATATTAGATTTATATATAGCACTGTTCTAACATAGGTATTTTGACACAAAATCGGACTTTTTCTGAAATAACATATCAATATTTTTCCATATTTCGATTCTACGACTCAAATTATGCCAGAATACCAAGTTTTGAAAAAATCGTACAAGTAGTTTTTAAAATATTAGCTCTCAAAATTTTAGCTCCTCAATGTTAATTGAATTTGGTAAATATTTATTAATATCTCTTTTTACTTCCTGGTACGAAGTAAAAAGGAAGTATTGTTTTATTAAACTTTTTTGATTTTTCCTTTCACATTTCAAAATTTAGGTTCATTCCAAATAAAATTTACCCATTTTTTTGCGTTTTATTTTTTAAATTTCTATTTTTAAATAATTTTTATAAATTTTTCCGCGTTTTGAAATTTGGCATCTTTTTTTTGAGCGATAACGCCAAATGTGGTTTATGGATTTTTGTTACAGTGAATTGCCACAGCTATTTTTAACCTTAAATTTCAAATAAAATTTTACGGAGAATTAATTATATGAAATTTTTTCCCTCAATGATGCGTAATAAATATTTATTAATACTATAACATGAAAAGCTATTTTTTAAAAAAATTATGGATGATATTATTCAAATTTTTTACTATTTTTTTTTAAAATTTCTCTCTTCCTTTTTTTTAAAAAAAAATATTTGTAAGAGTAAATTTTTATCTTCAGCATTTTATTGTCTGCTACTTTGCTTTAACTTCGTTTAAATTGAATTGTCTAAAACTGAGAACTTTTGTTTGATGTTTATTTGAATTTTATGAAAATATTTTATGACATTAACTGCATAATTTATTTCTAAACAAGCTGTTTCTTATGAAGTGGCTAAAAGAGCGGCTGATACTATCATCCATATTTTTAAAGCACTGTATATTTTTATAAAAACATAAGATTTAGAATAATCATTTTTATAAAAGTCAAATTATGATATAAACATACAACCCTCTAGAGACTAAATTAATGAAGTTCAATGGTTATGTAGAAATTATCTGCAGCTACTTAATGGCTGGATAAGTCAGCAAGTTCTGTGGACAAGTGAGAATAATTATATAAATGACACTCAACATTCTGGATTTAATTAATAACGAGGGTACAATGTTTATTAAATGAATTTAAGAAATTTTTAAACATCAAAAATCCACTCATTTTTTATCCTAATATGTATTTTTATGCATAGCATATTTTCATTATATCCTTAGAATTCTAATTTAGAATGTAACTGTCAAGAACTGAATTCTAATTATCAGTAATATAATAATTAATTATTACGGTTATGAATAAATCCTTCTTATAAAGTAATTGCAAATATTTCAAAAAACTTTCTGTCTGAATGCAAATATTTCAAAAAACTTTCAGTCTGAATGCAAATATTTTTCTATGCAACTATTTCTAATTTTATATTAATCAAAACGGCACACAATATTATGTATTTACACTTCAATTCTTACCGTCAGCTCTAGTAGAAGTTACAAATCAATTATATTTAATTAAGGAATGAACATCTAAGTTTAGAAACAGCGTATCGTAACAGCAATCCAATTATTGACGCCGTGTCTTTCATGTTAATCCCGATTGGCAAGCTACATGATTTTTAATGAGTATTCGGGTTTTGCTAGTAACTTCACTTGGAAATCGTGCTTAAACTAGGTTAGTTGGTTATTTGAACATAGAAAGAACATGGGAGCTATTTGGTTAAGATGTTTTCATAGAGAACCTTTGTAAAGAGAACCTAGAAAACTACGAAAACCAACCATGCAGCCTGGGTTAGACTTCGCAACAAACAATTAGTATTTAACAATCTTCAAATGCTAGGTAACTGGCGAGGCTCCAATTAAATCTCCCCAATTTAATATTTTATTTGTAAATATTTAAAATATTGTTGTATTCTTAGACACAAAAAGCAGAATTTAAGTTTTGTTAACTTGTTAGTAAACTACCAAGCGGTAGCGCAAACGAATATTCAATTTCTTTTGCAATAATTGTGTTCACTTAATATTCTTGGAATATGAACTAAAGAAGGAATGTTCTCGGAAGATTAAAGAAGTGTTTAAATCCAGTGATACTAGGTTTGTCTTACAAGCTCAGGATCAAAATGATTCTGCAATTGCCCGAGTAGTTAACTTGTTGGCTGTGAATTAAGCAGATGACTTTTAATCTTACGTTATTCAGTCAGAAAACGTATTCCAAATGTTTTGTATTGCATGACAATGCATCTTTTCATAATTCAATAACCAGTCGGAGAACCGCTTGTGTTCCGAAAATAAGTATGTGTACTCAATCATCCTGCATGTTCTTCAAATTTGTCTTCTTATAATTTTTTTTCTTTCCCAAAAAAGTTTTTTGACATTGAAGAGACAAAAGGAGTATGACATCTACTTTTAGAGGCATGTCAAAAATAGATCTCTATAAGCCTTCTCTTCCATTACATGTTGTGCATTCGGACAAAAAGTTGCATCAGTGTAAATTCTATAATCTATTTTTATTAACATACAGTGAATATATACTAAACCTTTTAATTTAGCTTCAGTAATTTGGAATTTTTGATGGATATGTTGTCGAAACTAGGATTAGAAGATAAGTCAAATTGAATATTTCGATAATACAATAAATTCAAGGTTGAAGTTTCAATATTTTATTTTTGGAGGGAGGGGAAATTTTTTCAGTTTTTGTCCATTATCCTAAATATATTTGCTTCGATTCTTTATTTTTTCCATAAAAGCGGAAATCTTACACATGGTATACATATAATGCATAGCTTCAAATTAAAATTTAATATTATACAGAGTGGTTATAATTAAAGTTCCACATTGAAACAGTCATAAAAGGAAAACTACTGGAGCAAATGTTATCAAATTTGGTAACCGTGTAAAGGAGTTCATGGGAATTTTTTTTTCCCGAAAAAACGGAATTTCGCCAAGTGAACTATTCTTGGCGCAACTGAGGGAAAAAAAAAAAAAAAAATCGCCAACATAAACTGTTGAATTTCTCTCTAAATTTCACACCAAATTTTACAAAATTTAGTATCTAGGCATAATTTGAGTCGAAAAATCGAAATATGTAAAAAAAATGGTGTTATTTCAGAAAAAGGCCGATTTTGTGTCAGAATACCTATGTTAAAATAGTGTTATATATAAACCTAATATATATCCTAAGTTGCGCTTTCGAGACGTAAAGAACGCAATTTGAATTTTGTGAATCGGCCCAGTAGAACGGGAGTATAGAACTGTTCCCCCCTTTTTTTTTGAGCAGTGTACATCTTAGAGCCCGAATTTTTAATTTGTTTTTAATTTATTTCATATTTTATGTGAATATAATGACACAGTAATTAACAAACTGGAAGATTTAAAACCAGTTTGCTGCTATTTTGCAAAACGTAAGATACATAATTGTAAAGTTAAATCGAAAAAATCAGCAATTTAAAAATTGATTTGCCATTCAGCAAAGCTTAAAGTATTTATTTCTCTGATTTAATTGAACTGCAGCAATTTAAAAGACATGTATTGCAATACATAGCAAAGCATAAGATAATTGTCTTTCAAATTTGATCAACACTTTTGCCAAACTATTTATATATTCCATGTGCCTATGCGTTACCATTCAGCAAAACATAATTAATTTTTCTTTTAACTTTAATCTCTGCGTCTTTGATTAACAAATTAAGTGATTTAAATTCAATAAATATGGTTTTTTGTATCTGTTGTTAGTAATCACTGGCTGAACCTGTGAAATGGCACTAGGTGAACTCCTGTAATAGTATTAGTTG